CTCCATTCTTTTTTATGCATAATCACGCCCAAATATTATCCTAAGATGCACAAAACTCATAACAAGAAAAGAAAAGGGAAGGGAAGGGGGGGGATATTCATGTTTTCATTGTTTCTTGATTAGATAAAACTTCCTCCGGTTGATTTTAGTGAGTTGGTTTCATGCTTAAATGCGATACACGTATGAACTTAACATATGGAATACACGCGACACGAAAAGGTGAAAGCAAATTCAATAGCAGTCTCGCCGCCCCCTTTTCGTCCCTCTCTTCTTTTCTCTGTATACTCGATGTTGCGGAACTCTATCTTGTTCCATCATGCGATCGTGTACAAGATTTATGCTTGGCAGTTGTCTCTGTCGCCGCCTGCAATGACACCGGACACATCCCCAGTCTCCAAACCATCTCTCTCTCTCTCTATCTCCCCAATTCACCTAATAGTAATGCGAAAAATTACCATACTCTTCAAAAGGTATAAATTACTTTTAGGATTGTGATTCGATCTATTTTCAATTGTCTTTCAAACGAAGTCCATTTGCACGAAACTGCAATTGTGATAACCAGATATCCGCAAAGGTATTTTATATCAGTACAATTTTCTTTCCAAGATTTCTTTCACAAAACTATTGTTCATAAGTTGTCTAAGTAACACTCATCTCGACAATTCCACAAAATCACCGTGAGCGACCGAGACTTATTTAAATTAGAAGATAATGAGAGAAATTAGTTTTTCCACTAAATAATAGGATCTTTTGTTCGATTAAGTAAAACAAAATGAATAAAATAAAAGTCCAAAATAAAGTCATTCCAACCATATGATGCCCACGACGGCATCACTCTAACCATCAAAACCGTTGGATGGGCAGATAATGACGTCATTGGCCATCCCTCTCGAGTCATACACATGACCCTCTCTAAAGCCACGCTATATACTATGCAAGTTGGAGCATCACTATCATTTGGCAATCTTGCATTTCCTTTTTAAGTAAATTTAATCAAATGGGAATCTTAAACCTTAATCACCTTAATCATATAGTAAAGTGTTGACTTAGGGTTCAAGTGGGTGCAGGTGCTTTAATTTAATGTAGCCCTCTTACAGGATTTTGATTAGAGGGTGCGCCAAGAGAATGCTCGATGAACAGCTAAGTAAGACAGCGTTACAATTTCAAATACACCAATCGCTCTTGTAATATGCACGATTAGTGCTCTGAAAATCTAATGTTTCTTCATTAAGTATGCTTAGAAATTGTCCTATGGACACTCGGTTAACAAGACCCTTTTGTGAATGGAAGAAAATTATATTGAGGCGCTCGGCTTTTAACGACCGTTTCAAGGGACGAGACAGTTGGCCGCTATCGAGACACGTAGGATAAGATTAAATTTGGACCAAGTAGCCTCTCATGCAAGTGATCACTTGTCACCTCTCCAAAAGATAACCTTTTTTTTTTTTTCGGCCCTTTGCCCCCTCTATAATCTCCATTCAAAAGCCACTAATCTAGAAGTTGGTTCGCATTAAAATGTCAACACCCTTGACTTTTCGCTTTCGATTTGGTAAAACGTTAGAGTCCTCGAGGGGGGCTCTTTTTTCCTTATTTTTCTCATTCTAACCTTCCTCTCCTTCTGTGCCACCCCTAACTGCCCTAACTGATACCAACTAACGGACTGACAAAGTGGAAATGGACCTCATCTATAATGTTAAAGACGTGCGCGTACTTAAAGGCCACAACCCTTTTCCCATGCATGTTGACAAAGTGAGAGTGCGAATGGCATGTTTCACTAAAGACAAGATAAAAACCAGATTAATTAGTGGAATCATGTCCTAAGATAAAGGTGTTATCAAGTGGTTATGATGCTGGCTAGTTCACTTTTCACCACCTCCACGACCGAAGCCAATTCTAGATCTAACTGTTCCCCCTTCTTCACATCTAACTTTTCTTTTTCTTATTTGGTAACTTTGTGGACATCATATGCATACATCAAGTAGTTCTTGGTTAATCGGATTAGAGCAGGAGAGATGGAAACAAGGTTTACGGTCCTTGGTGTAATCAACATCTTCTGGCGTAATTTGGATCTCAAGTGAACGAGTGAATTAGGGACCCTAGTATGGAGTTCTGGACGCGTGCCGATGATGCGGTTCCCACTTTCGAGGAATCGCGTCAATACTATGCATATGAAATACCCACTAACTAGAGTTCAAAGGGCGTAAACAGGGTGGCATAAGTCTCTAAAAAGCTAACATTCGAGAAGCGGAGTGAAAATTTTGTTTTACTCCTGTTCTTGGTTATCATGTTTCACATTACAAAGCAAAATTTGATTCTTGAGGCTGTTTTTGAGAACGCATGAAAATTATAAATAAAACCCTATACAGACAATTGAAACTGGCTAGCTAGATTCATGCCCAAAGAGCATCTAGAAGAACATGCTACTATCAGTAATGCCAGTTTGCAGCACCATTGTTTATATAATTCATCTTCGTAAAATTGAAGATAACCATGAATTGTATTCCCAAAGAAAGAGAAAAAAATTTGCTAGCTTGTAGAGTTGATATTCAGAGCAGGATATATTGCAGCTCCTGTGGAGTACAGTGAGATTGCTTAAAGCCGGGACGAACGGCATTAATTGTTGCACATGCAGAAACAAACATTTGTCAAAGTGGCCATGCAATTTTCAACTCGAGTCCAGCATTGAATCCTGAATGCTAATTGGCCCTCTTACGAGTCTAGAGCAAGCCTTTGCATCGCTGGTGTTTGAGGCTCTGATGAATAGCAGCACAATAGCAGCAGCATCGTTTTTTGAGCCCTGAGAAGAGTGCGAATCTGTTCATGTCAGCGCATGAACTGTGTTTTTGCATGTTAAGTTAGTGATACAATAGTGACAATGATTGCGCTCGAGAATCAACCACAGTGTCGTGGGAATCTCGGCGCTGAACACGGAGAGATGGAAAGAAGAAAGGAATCTGAGTATTGTTTGAGATGCTCTTGGGATCGGTATGTCAATCAGGGCATGGTCTCCCAACATTAGACATAAATATTACTTTACAAAAAATCCAACTGATATGATACTCAGAGGCGAACTATCATAAATTGTATTTGGTTGAGTTTTGGGGAAATCTTTGGCTCAAATGTATTTCGCTCAAAGAAAATTGTATTTGGTTAGTGAGTGTTGGTGTAGTTTTTTGCAAAGTAATTTGAAATTTTAATAAAAAGAATAGTCAAACAAAGGGCACTGCTCATCGTCTCTTTTGTTGAAGAGAGGGCTACGTTTTGCAGCATCTCTCTCCCGTCCACCATTTCTTTGCAAATCCTCAATTCGAAAGCCCCAAACCATTTCTCTACAAATCTTCGGTGGGACTCTGACCCCAGTGACGAAGCCGTGGACACCACCGTCGCCCAGGGCGGTGCTAGGTGCTACTTTTAAATGCCGTTCCTAGGCCCTCCAACGACCGGTGGCCGCCAAGTGTTGCCGCGGTTGCAACTTCTCCCTCAAGGTCTCCCCTCGGCGGGACCAGGACCCAAGCAACAAAGTCGCGGACGCCGCCTTCGATAAGCCGTGGTGCTGCTTCTGGGTGTCGCTCCTTGGCTCCTACGACGACGATCGGCCACTGTGCAACACTACGGCTACGACTACTTGTCGAGGTATGCCGGCGTCGTGCAAGTCCTCACGTCGGTAACCACGAGTGGGAAATTCTAGGGTTTCCAATTTGGGGATTCTGATACGATTTTATGAAGGCGAGACTAGAAAATGAAATTTCGGAGAGAGTAATTTTAGAAGGAAAAAAATTCATTAAGCCTAAAACTTGCCTTCTGAAAATGCTAATAGCCCACCGTAGGTCCTCCACCTATCTTAGGCTTTCAGCTTTGCCGATACTGGCATATCCCCAAAGTGGCCCAAAAAAACATTCACCAAATGCTCTAAATTTTTTACGAGGGACTTTGGAAGTCCAAAGCTCTTGGGAAAGCTGATCAAACGCAGCCATAGTTCGATGGAACTGAACCTCCACTCGTGGTAGATCGAGTATTTTGCAATTGATGGAGAGGGTGAGGCAAATTTTTATAATTGAAATGTGAAGTATATAAATTATACGAAACAAAACATTTACTTGATAATTAAGAACCATTCGAGAATCGGAGGCAGAGGTGAGGCCACGACCAGCGCTCGCGTCTTATTTAGGAATGTCGACAAGAACATGTCATGACAAGCCTAATTTCATAGGGTCTGACGTGCCCTAGTGCCGGATGAGTTCAAGCATAATTTCATTCGAAATTCGAGTAATAGTTCCTATCATTTCTTGTCATTGAAAACGTAACTTCGACTTTGATTTATACTGAAAATACATCAAGATGTGTCAAGTGATCGTAAGAGAGGAGGAGAGAGAGAGAGAGAGGCTGTGTACTTATCTCGTGCTCTGTCTTTGGTTTAGGATTAGGACCCAGAAATTTCTCTTAGGGCCTTGACCTCGGACTTGCACAGAGACGTCGAAGGAAAGCCTCCCTCTGCCTTAGCAACAGGAGCTATGTACTTCCTAACTCACCTAACGGACACGCAGCCTCTAATTATGGCCGACAAGCCTGTCCTCGGAACTACTGGGGAACGAGAAGTGAAGTAACATAATCTGCCAGAGACGGAAGCTCCGGGAGACATGGAACCCCTGATGTCCAGCTCCCAGAATCAATGCTCGAAAGGGCTAATCTTTAACTGATCTAGACCCACTTCCGAAACGAAATCGAGTCCAGAGGAACTCAAAACTGTCGTGGGCGATCAGGTATGTAAACACGCGAGATGATCGAGTCAGCTGAGAAAAATGCTTGACATGATTGATTTAAGACAAGAAGGATAGCAGCTGTAAAATTAACTGCTGCTCCTGTCATATTTGTCGCTTCAGCTTGCCGCTTTGTGGTGTAGCGGCGCATGGAAATATGAGAACATGCTCTTCTCGCACTCGTATGACATACATGACATAGTATATCTATCTTTGCGAGCTGTAACAGCTCAATGCAGAGGATTTACCAATCTACCAGCATATATATAGTCCGCGGTGTGATAACACACAGAACGATAACACCATAACATCCAAAGTAAAAGTAACACACGATAGTAGTCGAGTCTTAATCACGCATGGAGATACAAGCAATATTCGAGATCACAACACAAACTCACATGGAAGCATAAGAATCCACCAAACCGCATATCCTGCAAATAAGACAACCTCCAAATTCAGGAACCCTGCCCCCATGTATCCTGCATCAACCATTAAACGATATATTGGTTTAGAAAAATGGCCACGATTCTGTAAGGCGCTGAAATAGATTAGAGCACAAAATAGTTCAGAAGTGAAAGACGAAACAAGTGGCAGTCGAAAGAAGGTTATTCCTCTCCTCTGCGTCTAAGAAACTTACAATATGGGGTGATCTTCCATCGCTGATTATCTCCGTGGTTCCACTGCCAGAGCACAATAGTTGTGCCATCACGGACACCTCCGGATTGCTTGTCACCATGAAAAGCATCCAGATTAAGGCGAACGTTGTTAACCATCCTTACGGTTCTGTAAGCATTGCCGAGGTCCTTGCTCTCTGTCCACAGAACAGATGCATCAAGCTGCTCTGGATTATAGGGTACCAGCTGTACCTGAAGATTACGAAAAGTGCAAATCTTAGATCTGACAAATATCTGCAGCTCTGAAAACAACAATATTTCAGAGAGCTAAGGCTTAAATTAAGCTGTTCCTCGGACTTCAAAGTGGGTCTACCCCTCGCTAATGAATGACTACAAGGTGCTATATCCTAGTGCAAAATATATATCAACTCTTTGTCCGTTTTCTGGTGAGCAAGCATGCATTATGAACAAATCATGGGAATCTCTAATAGTTGAACCAAACCCACCAATTGGCTCAAAAATACACATGTCGAGATGAAGCTCAAGTTGAGGCAATGAAAGTGAAGGCTCAGTGCAAACAAGCTTTTTTACAAAAGCTGAAAGACACAACTGTTAGACTGTGGTCAACCTTTTCAGTAGTGTCCAAGTTAGCACTCGTAAAAGGCAAAAGCACAAGACAATGATTAGGCAGTAAAAAAGGTACTAAAATGGTAGCCAGAAGAAAAAACGGACTTACGCCACAAGAAGAATTCTTTTGGAACCACGACCAGTCTAACTATTAGCTACCAAAACTGAAACCAAAGCAGAGGATCGTGGTGACAACAATCGAACGGAAGACAAACAACTGTTCAGACATAGCTTACAGTGAGCCATTTTGAGACTAACCTCAGTTTCTATGTCATTCAAAAACTATTCTGTTCGCAAAGTTACTCACAGAATCTAGACAAGTTCAGAAAAATGATAATTCAGAAGTTACACAGCAGCTAAAGCAAATGACTCCTGGCTAGCGGAGCCGATAATAATTGGAAGACCGCAATCTTCTTTTGCTCGCACAAGGAGAACAAACATGAGAGCTCTGTTGACCGATGAGATTGACCACGTTCTTATTAGCTAAAGTATCATGGTCACCAAAATATAGCTCGCACACAAGTGACATTTGGCTTACGACTAGTCTCACAAGCCTTTTTACCTACTCTACAGCCAGATTATGCAAATAGATCATTTTTCCTATCCTAATTGCAGCTCAAACAGATATCCTATAATTGCAGAGGTTTCAGATTGAATATCCAGAGATACAAAGTTACCGGGTGAGAGGCTCCAGCAGAGTGCTTGATGGCCTCACCAGTGGCCTTGTTGACCAGAGAAAAGCAGGGAAACCCCTCTTCATCCTTAACTCTGGTGCTGAACTTCTCATCCTTGTACCATTTCTGAACAAATCAAATCATACAAGCCACTTCACATCATTAAAAGAATTAACGAATAAAAAACCATCACTCACGCAACGCTCAAATGAGGCAGATCAAACCAAACCCCATAAAAAAGCCATCAACTTGAAAACATCCAACCGAACCAAAGATCAAGAATCGGGGGTGACAGGCGAAAGCAAAGCAAAACAACATACTTGATAAGGATCGCCGGAGTCGGAGGGTGCAAGAATGACTTTTGAGTCCCTAATGGTCAGAGAATAATTGGGCTCGGCCTTGCAATAAACTTTGTAAGTGCGCTTGTTGGCGAAATAAGAGCCAAGAGCTCCACCACCGGAAGCAACAGCAGCGGGATCATAGTCAGACTGGTGCTGGGTGTGATGATGGAGGAAAGAAGGCAGATGGGGGTGATAAGAATGGTGGGTCTCGCTCGGCTCATCGAAATCGTGACCCACGTGCTCGACGGTCGCCGCCGGCGGGTAGTCGGTCGGTCCCTGAGAAAATTTCTCAGGCGGCGGAGGGTAGGGGGAGGAGTAGCCGGAGGCGAAATCGTCCCGACGCGGAGGGTAAGCAGGCGGGGGAGCCGAGTGCGAGGTGTGGTACACGCCGGACGGCCGGTGCGGGGGCGGGGCGAAGTCGTCGCCGCCGCCGCCGTAGAAGGGCGGGCGCGGAGGGGGAGGCTGGTCGTAGACGTCGGGTGGGAGGAAGGATCCGGGTGGCGGGTAGGGCCGGTTTCTTGATGAGTCGTCGTCGTCGTCGTCGTCTCTCCGGTGGTGCCCGTGGGCGTGGTGACCGAATGGGAACTCCATTTCCGTCGGGGTCGGCGTCGATCCCTCCGATCTCTCTCGAACGGTCGCTCAAAGCGGAGAGCTTCTGATGTCTGAACAGCAGTTGATCGTCTGAGGCCTGACCATCCGAGCGTGTGAGAAGATGCCCTTGCTTTGTGCAGATTCTTTTTCTTGTTTTTAACTTTTTTGGGGATTTGCAAAAGCTACAAAATTTTGAAGCACTTTCCGAGGAGGAATTTCTCCCTTCATATCATATGAATTAATCTCCGATAAAAAAATAATTCATATGAATTAATCGCCCTCGTGTGAATCTCAGGTGATCAACGGTTGTAATTTACTCGATCCATCGAATTAGATTTGAATAAACATTTCTCTACCGAGAAGCTGATTTTGATTTGATGAGCGGAACTTAGCATTCGAGCTTTTGGTATTGCACAATAGTCAACACGCGGTTGAGCTACTCGTTAAGCATATTCCATGTAAGCATCGCTTATAATTTAACGCAGTTAATTATACATATCGCGAAAGACATAATTATTTTAGTGTATAAAAACGATGCATTTTTAATATGGTTATTTAGCAAATGCTTTAGAAAATATTCTTGAATTAAGCTTTTTATTTCTCCGTGTAACACTTGTGATACTTTGAATTTGCTTGTCTTTGCATGTCTTAATATGTTACGACCGTCGGCGTCTCCTAATTATACTCTCAAGGATTGAGGATAATATATATATATATATATATATATATATATATATATATATATTTTGCTATTCACGGGTTCGGAGGAGTCGGTGAAGGAAAAAAAGCCGAGAAATTTTTTTGGTGAAAGCGCACAAGGTGTGGGGATGAAGATGACGGCAAGTGGAGCGTAGGGTTTTACGAAAAAATCGATATTAGAATCCAGTATCAATTTTTTGATCTATATTTATATCCACCTTATCCTATCCTCAAACACAGAGAAATTATACATGTATTGAAATTCCACAATTGAATAAGAACCCCTCTCTCCATGAGAAATTATCATGTATGAAATGTAGTTTCTCTTTATATGTATATACAAAAGTACGCACGCATCAAAAAGATAATACAGAAGCAATAGTATTCTCATCTTAACATAATGCAAGTAGCTATTAGATGTGCGTTCCGGGTCATTTCGAAGATACAAACCAATGTCTAGGACAAAATCAATCAGGTGTGCTCCTTCATTAGGACAATAGAATGTTTTGTGTTTACTGAAACATATGGTCTTCTGCATAATACACATGAATGCATCCTCCTCCTTTCTTCCAACTTCATATTTTATCATACAAATCAGATGGTGCTCCTTTTCACAATCACATCATCATCTAACTAATCCTCGTAAAACTTCTCCTTTGTCTTCATAGATGCTTTAACAATTGATTTTTTTTTTGGTAAGGATGCTTTAACAATTGATTTTCTTACCGACAAAAGATCATAATCAAAACCCTAATTAGCCACCTCCCCCAATCCGGGCCTCTTGGGACAGGGGTGATAACCAGGGCAATGGGAAAAAGATTATATCAACCCTACTTATATCTCTACATTCTCGCTCCTAAGTGTAAAAAATGGAGGGCGATGGGAATATGCTCTGAGCCGTCCAAGTTGTGGAGCCAAACACCACATAAAATATTGATATTTGGACATAGTGATGGACCAAGCACGTATGATGCACCCTCTCATCTTTCTTCCACACAGTTGTCATGGCAAATTCAATGGGCATATATAATAAGGGAGGTGTTCTATGGGCTTTTGTAAGGTTATGGTCGCCGGAAATTCAATGGATTCAATTAACGATCAAAGTTTTCGACCAAAAAACAAATTAGCGGTTAAAGTTCAATCCAGAATGATCCATCGCTGATTAAATTGTTAAATTCGACTTCAAATGAAAAGTAACTGGACCTCAAATTACGAAACAGTGCGTGAACGATAGATTGGAAACAAGTAGGAAATTGCGTGATATTTTATTAGACCAAAAGGCTTGCATTATTGGAAGCATTGCTTGCTCGATAACTAAAGCTGGACATAAACGGCTAATGAAGAAAACTGGAGTGTGTAGAGAAAGTAAAAAGCTTAGGAAATGCAAATGGAAAGCTTTTATGATCAAAGATATCAGGACAAAAAAAAAAGATCAAAGATAATTCGGATTAAGGCAAAATCTAATCAAAGATCAAAGATAATCCGTACCTTCATGTTTTTAGAGTAAAAAATCTGATGCACTTGTGATTTCTGATAGGTCTTGATTGCTTGCGAATTCTTATCTTTCTTAATCTTTCATATATTTTTAAATGGGTCAAATCGTTTCTCGTTCTAATAACCCTCTGTAAAAATATTTAATTGTCTTGATTTGCACGGTACTCGAGGGATGATTTGTAACCGCACTTCCTTAGCTACAATTATTTCCCAATCGATGAATCCTCCTCGACTCGGTCTTCAACTTCTTCATGCTTCGAGTTAATTAGTAGTCACCAAACGTCATGTACTTCACTTAAACTTTGCAAAGAGCTCGTTAGGCATTCCATCGATGGGTTTTGCGGGTCAACTTTATTGTTATGACATTCACAATCGATAAGCTTGTCAAGCATTCCAAAGATCGGGTCTTATGAATTAATGGATCAAGTGTATTGTCATTAGACCTATTAAAATATGTTATAAATTAGGTGCAGTGGTTATATAGGTCAGTTATATTTAGTAAATGGGTTATAAACGGATTTAGAATGACAAAGTTAACAAAAGTACAGAAGTTAAAATGGTTTTACAATTTATTCAGACTCAACTCATCTCAAATAGTCCCTTCTCCTGCCGCAGCCGCCTTCCCCTCAAGCCACAACCGCAGACGCTGACCGCCATTGCCGCCTCTCCCTACGGCCGTAGCTGTCATTCTCCATCTCCGTCCTCTTTTGCCCCCTCTTCCACAGAGCAACGAACTCTAAATCAAAGAGTAATTAGTGGGTCGATGTGCGTAAACTAAGTGGGAGATGCAATTTCGGATTAGTTTGGATGTTCGGTACCAGTTGTTACCCTTACGTCGTACAAGTTATTAGGATCGCAAGTTCTTATTGGTAGTATTTCTATTGCTTAGCGATTGCATTGTATGTTTCTTGGTCTCGGGCAACGGTATGTTTTGTTCATGTGACTTTGATTTTCTTCGATAAAGAAACTTTCAAACCGTATAGAAATGAAAGGTATGGGGGAAGAGAAGTTTAGGAACAGTTGCCTGCTACTTGGTTGATGAAATGCTTGAACAGTGTATTTCTCCTGGAATTGAGATTGGACAATGTTACGGTTTATAACTAATAGAATGTAGATACTTTAAGCTTAAAGCATGAGATTGGGGTTTAATGCTAGTAATTTTGATTTGCTTGCACTCCAAAGGCTGAATATTGATTTGCTTAAATAGAACTCTTCTTTTTATATATTGGTTTGTTTTCCTCAACCGAGATTGCTTGCGAGGTTAACAATAAATTTATACTGTCCCAAAACCAAATCCTAAACCCACTTCATGATTTATGGATGGCCCGGGCTGAACTTTCACCACCACCTTCACCACGCCCTTGTTCATAACCCGACCACTCCCTCACTAACACAATGAGTCAGTCCATGGAGCCACCATTATTCAGAGGCAACAATTTAAGGAGAAAAATTGCTTAAAATAAATTATTAGATTTGCATTGCAAATAAATAAGTCAAAACGGGTTAAATGGATCGATTTATGTCAGATCAATCCCGACTCGACCTATCCGTTTGACGGATCTAATTGTCATGGCCTGATTTGGTCCATTAATTTCTTTTCTTTTAGGCACTGTGTTTGGGTCTGGAGTCAACAAGATGACAACTCAATCTTTTCTCTACCTCCGAGAAGACATTGTTAAAAGCAATAATCTTTCAATTCATAAATGAAACATGCGTTCCTTATAGTCAACGCGTAAGTGTAAGGCGCCCAAGGTCTCCAACCCCATTTCGACTTGTGTGAGCGATCCTTTGACGGTTGATGGTCCACGTGCTCTCTGTCAATTTCCCTTGGATACAAAAGAGACTCAGATTGGTTTATCTGGTTTCTCATGCAACTTGGGGAGGTATGAGTGAACAATGAGCAAAGACAGGTTTTTACCAGGACAGTTAAAACCGAGGTAGGCAAGTTCAAAGACCATGATGATGATTTGCCTAATGTGTGCTTTGTGGAATTCACTCGACAACTTCTATGTCTCTTTCCGACAGATAAGAAATAACGCCTGCTCTCTCTCTCTCCTCTATATTTTGTGGAGGGACGGTTTATAAGAGGAGAAAACAGTCAAGACAAAGACAATAGTGCCCGAACTTCACTATCAAACCTCCACCTACTTTTTATCAGATCGATCAAACATGCATAAAGGAATCACAAATTAAGTAGTAGAAAACCCGAGGCTCTGTTCTACATTCTACGGAGAAAATATTCGGTGTTTTGCTACCATATTATGATATGATGTGGTGGGTGTTTTTTCTCGCAACTGGTAAAAAGTTGACAAGTGACTGCTGGTGTGGAATGGCATAAAGTAAAAAGAAATGGTTTCTGTGCTTCACGGGAGTTGCCCCTCGCCGTCTCGCTAGCGGCAGAGTTGCCGGTGCGTTTGTTGTTCATGGCCTGATTTGGTCCAAGCCATGGCGACCACAAGTCGACCTTAGATAGAGAGGTTCAACGACAATAATAATCGGTAGGGCCGGTAGTGCTGTAGCAATCGAAGGAGGTGCAATGGAGAGAGATGGATTATTTTAGCTTATTAGGTATCCCACGGTCAAATGGTCGTCGAATTCACCTGTTACTAATGCGAAAAATTACCATATTCTTTTTTTTTTGTCGGAAAGTTACCATACTCTTCGAAAGGTATAAATTCCTTCCTTTTAGGAATGTGATTCAATCGTATTTTCAATTGTCTTTCACACATCATATAAAATCTATTTGCACAAAATTGCATTTGTGATAACCAAATATCGCAAAGGTATTGTATATCATTACAATTTTTTTTAAGGAATTCTTTCACAAAACTATTTTTCATAATGGACAATTCCACAAAATAACCATGAGCGACCAGGAAAAAAAGTATTTAAATTTGACGATCACAAGAGAAATTAAGTTTTCAATTAAATACATAGGGGCTTTCGTTCCA